TGTGCTTGTAGATCACGGCCACAATAAAAAACTTGGTTAACTGCATTTGGATAATTTCAGTACGTAAAACAAAAAAATCAAAGGGAAAAGATTTTTTTTCTCCAAATATCCTTATTAATAAGAAGCAAGAAATATCCGGTCTTTAGTAGGGGATATGATCTCCCCAGACTGCTAGGCAGGTTTCACAGCGTCTGCCCATGCTGAGAATGAGGGTGTCAATGAGTTGTTGAGGTATTGCTGCCATTCGTCTTGCAGCGCCAATCGAAGCTCCGGAATCGTTACTGGTGGTAAGGTACGAGCTGCCAAGCGTCTGCCTAGAAAATCCCATACATGCTCGATGGGATTGAGATCCGGAGATCATGCCGGCCAATCCATACGTTCAATATCCTCACTCTCTAAGAGCTGTTCGGCAGCTACTGTGCGATGACATGGTGCATTGTCGTCCATGAAAAGGAACTGCGCACCCATAGCGCCTCTAAAAAGACGCACATATGGAAGAAGAATCTCGTTACAATAACGGGTCCCGTTGACTGAACCTGCGTCGAAGATGTGAAGGTCTGTACGACTACCAAGCATGATGCCTCCCCAAACGAGAACATTGCCACCTCCATACCTGTCCTTTCAATGATGTTCAAGGGATGATTGCGGCTTCCCCGCTCTCTCCAGATGAGTATGCGATGAGAATCGCTACTCAGACTGAATCTGCTCTCATCTGTAAAGAGTACTCGTTCCCATTCATTGTCTCTCCAATTCCGGTGTTCCCGGCACCACAGAGAACGCCTTCTCCGATGGGCAGGCGTTAGAGGTACACACCGTACAAGGAGTCGTGCAAACAGACCACCACCGTGCAGTCTTCTGGCCACGGTAAAACGCGATATCGGTCGTCCAGTCGCCTGTGTTGTGTGTCTAGCGATTTCTCCCGCTGTCTGCCGCATGATTCTTCTGGCCTGTAAGGCAATATACCGGTCATCTGCGGGTGTGGTTCCTCGTGGACGACCACTACTGAACCCCCGGATAGCTGTTATTGTAGTTTGAAAATGCCTACAAAGTCGTGAAACGATGCTGTGAGCAATTCCGAACTCTGCAGCCACACTTGTCACACTGCGACCTTCCTCCAACTTCCCAATGATTCGACCTCGGGTAAAAGCATCCGGATGTCGTCTAACAGATTGATTATTCGCCATTTCTCGCTGAGGCAGCAACTCGGTGTGATTTTAACTGCTATACGGTGTGGAATCTCTTTGCCAGAAATACTAATCTTACACCGACAACATACTTTACTACTCAGACACTCCCCCATTACGTCTACCTGCATATCTGCGCATGTGCTACCGTACATCACCTCACTTAATCTCCTGATTGGTCTTTCTGTCCGCTCTGCCTCTTCGTTCAGCTGATATGCTAATTTTTCGACTTCGTCCTTAATTTTTGCACACCAGTGTACATATATGTATATACACATATATATATACATATATATACATATATATACATATATATATACATATATATATATATACATATATATACATTCATATATATACATACACATATATATATATACACATATATATACACACATATATATATACACACATATATATATACATATATATATATAATCTAAAAATGTAGTTTTTTTCCTAATTTTCAGTGTGTGTAAGATTTTGTATTATACCATGCTTCATATTAGGTGTGCATGTATGACACGCAAAAAATTCTCTCAATCGTTGAAAAAAAGAGGTATGAACATGACATTTTTTTTATATATGAGATCAATTCTTTGAAGATATGTAAAAAATTCCTATAGAGAGTGTACTTACAAAATGCAAACATTTAGTAGGGTTTTTTTTGTTTCACAGTTATAAAATAAAAAAGTAGTGTAAACTTTACTATATTCAAAATTAAAATAAATTTCTTCCATTTTCGCATTCTGTTGAGTATTATGCTTAGTTATGTGCAGTAAAAAGTATGATTTTTTTTTTAACATTTTGGGTCAAAAAACTTTGGGAGGGGTTAAGACTGTATGATATTTTGGGTCTTTTATGGCTATCCGAATTAAGTAAGGGCACACTAAAAAAACGGGCAGATAAAAAGTTCCAAGTTTTCTAGCAATGAACTTTATGTGGCCTAATTCCGGATTAAGTGATTTGTTAATGAATCTAGAACGCCAGACACCCTCTTACTCACTTCACTTCACTTCTGGGGAGGTGTCATCCATCTTTTCTTGTCCGTTCCTGATTCGTGCAAATCAATTAGCGAGACAACATTTTGCCGTAACACAGATCAATGATTAATTGGCATCAGAGATGTTCTTTTCAGAGAAGAAGGATTTCCTTCTCTTTGTCTTGTCTTTCTGTTGATTCTTCTGTCTAAGATTAAAGATACATTCGGATTTATGGGTCTTGTGTGCCTTCGGTGCTGATTACCAGGGTTTTATACTTTGTTTCGAGAAAAATGTGTTCTTTTGCCCGGCTGCCTACTCACATCTAACAGTAGAAAATCTTTATTTAAGTCTCATATATTCATAATTCAAAAATACGGTGTTTCTCCATCAGTGTATAATGTATTAGGGTTCAGAGTATAGTTGTATAAAATATCTTTTTTTAAAGCAAAAAATTAATATAAAGTTCATGTCTTATTCTATTTGTTACAATAATAAAAATTTTAGTAATTAAATATACAGTCAGACTTCGTATTAACGAACCCCTGTTTAACGAATTTCGCGATTTAACGAACTTTTCTCTTTCCCCGATTAAAACGAAGGCAAAAGACCTACTTAACTAATAATAAACGCCGAATTAACGAATTATTTCAGCAGTTGCAAAAAATATTATTAGTGTTCTGTTAGAAAAAATTGGATTTTTTTTCCAAATAACATCCGTTTTATCCAGAACAGAAAAAAAATATTTGTCTTATATGTATTTACTTTCAACTGCAAACGGTGCAGAACGTTTTTAGACTTAATAGTTGCAGATGAGTCATGAGTGTAACCTATCGTGTGAGTTTTGAATAAGACAAGAAACTTTTTTCCTAACTCATTTTATTCTACACAGCAAGGGATGTTTTGAGATCTTAATGATTTGTTACATTTGATAAGGCACTGACTATCTGTCAAACTGAAGCTCATTAAATTGCTGATTTGTCGGAGCCAATGGATAGCAATTCTGAAGCAGAAAATGATAATGAAACTCTTATTACAATCGATACATTTTCTAATACCTTGCATTATTTGGAAATTGTGAGAACATACCTCATGCAGCAGGATGTAAATGAAGCAGTGTTCTCTTCTCTGCATAAAGTCGAAAAAGAACTCCTTCAAGACAGGAATCAAAAATATTGTCAAGTATCTTTTAGTTAGTATTTTTAAAATTTCCAATTAACTAGCACGTACTAATCCACTAGTAGCTGTTGAATAAAAAGTGTAAAATTTCTAACTCTAAATATTTTTTGTCTAGTTGGTTCCAAAAATCTCCAAGAGGTAGAATTACCCAAATGTAAATGCCAAAAATTTGTATTTTGGTTTTGGCCCGATATAACAGATAACCCCAATATAGCGAAGAAAATGTTCGGTCCCAATTAATTCGTTAAATCTTTGTCCGACTGTAATTGAATAATTTTTGTAAAAATTCGGAACATAATATGTTTCTTTTAACATAGAGATTCTGAAACTCTAGGGAGTGCCCCCTCCCCCAGTGGTCGTCATAACCCTACGCGGTGGGCACGAGCTTGCTCATTCAAAACACGAGTCTTCTAATTCTTTCTTCATAAACACTTCCATATATTTACAGAAAAAACGGAAAGATGGACTCAATTTCTTTTGTTTTTAATGTGCTAATTAATATTTTTTTAACTGTTTTGGTACATGCTTAGAAAAAAATTAACGTTTACGAATATAACTTTTTAAACGACTTTTTATTTAAAATTTTGAAATTTTAAGGTATTTTTTTTTATTTCTAGAGATAAAATTCGCAGTCTGTTAATGATAAGTACATTAAGAAATATTCATTCATTCCTTTCAGCATTACGTTGTGATAACGAAGTGGTAGCCTGCTTTTTATTTTCTTGATTGTCTACTCTTGAAATTGTTTTATCTGAGTTTATTATAAATGCCGTTACGCAGTGCATGAATCTAGAATGTTTCTTTAAAAAATTTAAGTTTCTTCAATCATGTACAATGAATACGAATTTAAATGATTTAAAATAAATATTGTACATCTTCATAAGCAGAATAAATTGTATAAGATTTTTATCTGGTATATTTGTATTTATGTATTTATTGAATTAATGCACACTTTAATGCATATTCGACGAACTAAAACTTCTGTCCAATATAATATTAAAAAAAACCACACATTTTCATTCAACTCCTACTATTTTTAACTCTACCCCCCCCCCACACACACACATATGTGGGACGGCGTCTAGGGGAAGGTTCGATTTTTAATGTTAAAATAAGCAAGCAGAGTTAAAATAACCTAATTTATTAAAAACACAACTAAAACATTAACTATTTACAAGGGGTTTTAAATTATTCGAGATAACACCATACTAATTCCGAAAACACGTACTCTTTCTCAAAACAACGGAGAGAGCGATTTCCTCTGACCTGCCTTCGTTCAAGCTTTGGTGCAACTCTCAGTTTCTTCTTTCTGCCACCTTTATAAATACATGACCTCATCGTATCGTGCAGCTAAAACTCACGTGGTTTCGATTAGTGGTGCCATCTCTTACAATAAAAATTAAAAGAAGTAAAAGAAAACTTGCACTCCTTTCCTACATATATATATATATCGTTCAAATTTTCAATCGTTAATAAAATATTTTCTATTCATCCATTCAAGTTCAAATATATTTTTCAAACTTGTAGGGGATGACACCTGTTGTTAATTCAGTTTTTTCAAATATCAATTCATTAACTAAATTAAAAAATGAATAAATAGTAACAAATATAAAAATAATAGTCCAACAGCATATATAGAAGGGAAAACCCTCGTTGTGCTTTTGTTGCGCAATGGATAGCGCGTTGGACTTTTAATCCAAATGCCGTGGGTGGGAATCCCACCTGGGATGGCTTAATTTTTGCAAATGTGATTTCTTTTTTTCTATACTATTTTAATAGAATAATTAAATTTAATCAATGCATAAACAGTAACAAACAAAAAAATTGTCTAGCACCATATATAGAAAGGGAAATGGAAAATTACCAAGAAAATCATTTTCTGTTTTGTCACTTAATATTGCGATTCTGTCCTGCATATATATATTTATATTAATTGTAACTATTGAATAAAAAATAACTGAAATAAAAATTTTCTTTGACCTAAATAGGAATTGTCTTAATTTTTTTCTATTATACTTGTTTTTTATTAATGTTTGCTAAAATTAGTTTTAATTAAATTTTTGAAAAAAAAATAGTTTAGCAAAATGTGTTAGTTGTAACAATTACTATGCTTGTTAGTTTAACCTAAAATTATTTACTATATTTTATTCAGAAAACTCAATTGCAGTGCTTGTACTTTTTTAAAATGACTCTTTATATCAATGATTTACTTTCATGCATTTTAAAATTTCTTAAGAATTTGAATGGAATATTTTAAAATAAATTTAGCATGATAAGACCTTATAATAATGATATGAAATATTAGTACAATTACTTTTTATAAGTTACGAGCTTACGGAACAGAAGGCACCGAGATCGAATCTCTTTCATTGGTGTGTGTGATCATGGCTGTACTTTGAAAAAATACAACCTTCGCCCAGCTGTCGTGGCGCCATCTACCCGCCTCAGAAGCAATAAAAAGTCGTCAAATCCACATGACGCAACAATCAAGCCATCATAGTCATGCTTGATGCAACAGCAATCACTCACACTCTCACCATAGCAACTATATCGCTCGCTCGCCTACCGACTCCCTGGTAGGGGAGTGTGTGGTGGTAGTATCTATATAAGCCAGTAACAGCTTCCAGACTGAAGTGATCACTTTAACCTAGTGGTAAGTTATGTGCTTACAGAACAGAAAGTACCGAAATCGAATCTCCTTCACTCAGATAAATCCAGGTTATCTCCATTTCTTGGCAAATAACGCAGTGTGAATTTTTCACTATTACTTCATTCTCTTCTAATATCTCTCTCAACCTCTAGCCACAAAAACGGAAAGTTATGACCAATCTCCAAACATGTATCAGGTGGTCATAAAAATTTGCTCACTCATTGTATATGTATCTCAGCGTATTTTTCCCATTTCTGTTACAGAAGAAAATTGGAAATTAAAATTAAAGATGTTCTTTTAGAATCTCATTCGTTTCTTGTCCCAAAGGATGTTGCAGGAAGATGGCTTGCGTAGGCCAAGAGAGAATATCCCTTCAGTACTGCTAAGTGAAGAGAAGTGATCTATATGGCAGACATGACGGCAAGTTTAGTCCATATAACTTGGCAAATTTGGCGACAAGAATTTATTTAAAATTTTAAAGAGTGCAGAAGGGTTATTTGTGAAGAGGAGCTTCGAGGAACTTCTACAACGTGTCCCCAGTGTCTGCAAAAATAAAACATTTGGGGTTTGACAGGGATTGTGCATTTTATTTGGCTTGTGCAATTTTGCGACTACGGACCTATGCGCTTTATATTTGTGCACAATTGCACAAATTGCTCAATTAATGGATTATATATGTGTGTTTAATACTTTTTCCTGCTAGAAACACTTCTACTACTATTATAAAGAGTTGTAATACGAGGCATCCTTAAAAATATTTTAATCTGGAAAGGAAGAGATATTAAAAAAACCATAATATTAACAAATTTGTGAATTTCATACTGTTAAAATTTTAAGAAAACCCCTTAACATTCAATTTAACTGCTCCTGGTGTGGTGAGTTTAAAATTTTATGATTATTTGCAATTATTTTGTTTCCATGCAGTTGGTTAACATGAAATTTCAATTTATCTCACCAACATTAAAAAGGAAAAGCACTATATTTAGTTTTTTTAAACTTTTTTTTTTCTTTTATCCAATGGGTTAGAGAATTGGTAATTATTACATTGCAGACCTTGATACCAGCTTCCGGGAAAAGTACATTTTTAGTGAGGTACCATGTTAATAGATACCTATTGCCACAACATAATTTTGACGCACAGTTTCATCCCCAAAAGGAGGCACCTGAGCTTTGTCAATGCCTTCCGGGAGCACTCAATCCAAACAGGCACTCAAGAAACATTTTACATAAAGCATAACCATACGACATAGATACTGTCGATTTTTTGCATCATTAAATTCCCCCGACTTGGGCTGGTGTTGAATCTGCGAATTTTGGAGTACAAGGCCAGCGCGTTACCATATACGTCACCCAGCCACATCTATTTGATTATATCTATTTATAAATTACATATATGGATGTTTATCTGCTTATATGAATTACACTGAAATACTATAACATATCCTGTTGTAGTACTTTTGTGCATTAGAATACTTTATGTACTAACAAGACTTTTAATATACACTATTGAACATTAAAATTGCTGCACCAGGAAAAAAATATAATTAAAAAAATGATATTTATTGGTCATATATATTATACTGAAAATAAAAAGTAATAAAATATTCAAAATACTTGGAGGCATAGATTCTGAGAAATCAGCACCCCCCAAAAAACACTATCAACAATACTACCATAGAAGTAGGCGTCGAGTCAAGCAGATATAGCACTAGCTGAAATGCCCGTTCTTCGCACGGATTAAGTTTTAAAAACCAAAATTTATCTATTATAGCAATCAAAATATTTTTTTAGGGAGGGTAAAACCCTGTATTAATTAGTATAACTAAAAATTAAAAATATTTTTTTCAAATGAATGTTCACATTATAAATAATTTTAAACAAATTGCAATTTGGCCTAAAAATAAATAATTTAACAAAAACACATATTTCAATGTAAGAGAGAAAATTAGCATGCTAAAGAGTAAATAGATATGAATGAATGCAAATATAAATAAAAATTATTAGAAATGTGATAGCAGTAGTAAGTTTCTGCTATGGGAACTATGGGTGAAATAACTTGCAATAGATAAACCGAAAGAAAAAATTAATGATGATAAAGTGATTCTCACTAAATGCTATCATAAATAAGAAACATTAGGAAACTTTAAACTGAAAAAAATTAAATTAGTATTATATGAGGTATGGGTGCAATGCTATCTAACATCTCAGTAATACATTTAATATAGAGTATTAAATGTAATTCAGTACTAAAAAAAATTTATTAGTATGAACTAAAACCAAAAAATCTACCTAAAACAGATATAACAGGTCCCCATTGAAATAGCCCAGAACCAACAACAGTACTAAATGAAACAAATAATAAACCATGTTGCTAAAAAAATTAACCATTACAAATGATACAGTTTTCTGGTTTGCAAGATTGTTAGAAGCAAAGTTAAGTCATGATGAAAAATCTGTTCAAGGGGTGCATCTCATCATAGGTTCAGCGAATAGCCCCCTTTTTGTTAAAAAAAAAAATTGATTTTTTTCATTTAAAACAAAGATGAGTTCTTATCGGTCATAGGGACCATAAGGCAAAAAACAGTGACACTCAAAAAAACATTGTACATTCAGGTTTCTCATAAATAGGAAGCATTATCTTCACAATATTACCAACATGGTAACAGCAATTGATTTGAATTTGGTGTCATTTTCTTTCTGTTATATTTTAAGCAATATTTTTATACAATGAAGAAAACATTGAGTATGCCGGTGAAAGAAGAATAGCAATAATCTTTATTTTCAACGACAGAAAATGGCATGAGAAGGCGAGAAGTGAAGGTGTAGTTTCATTGATTGTAAAAAAATACCTCTTTGATCATCACAAATTATTGTTCCGCTTAAAAATTCAGTTTTGAACACATAAAAAACCACACACACATTTCATAATATCTTAAATATTTAAAATTGATAAAAGAAATAAAATAAATACATATCAAAGTACCCCTTACCATATAGTAATTATAATATTAATCCAAACCAAAAGGCTACTTTAAATAGATAAATTAATGCTTGATTTTGAAGAAACTACCATAAGCAGCTCAGAACGAAAGAAGTATGTCAAAAAATCTTATATGTAAATAGAAATTCTAATTTAAATCACAAAATTAACAATCAGTTAATCCCTATTAGTTAGAAATGAATGTCCTTTTCTTTAGTTACATTTTTCTACTTTTTTGTTACAATTGAAAAACATGGAATTTGCCAATAGAAGGAAAAGGGTACATATTGGAGTAACCGCAACAAAATTTGCACCACAATATCAAAATAACAGATTCTTATATATTTTATATGAAGAAAAAGTCAAATTTTGGTGAAAAAAGTGCCGCTTTGACTCTAATACATAAGTATCAGGAAAAGCAGTACCCTTTTCCTTTTTCAATGGAAGGAAATGTTGGTGCTAACCTTTTATCGCACCAATGCCAACGTTCAAAATAACTCGCCAAGTTGGCAACGCTGATTTCAAATGTGTTATATGGACTCAATTGGCAACCATGTGCTTCATTTCATGTAATGTTGTAATAATAATAGGTTGTGGCAATATGTAAGAATTGAAATGTCATAGGAAGATTTTTGGTACTTATGTATAATTGCAACAATTGCCAACTCTATTAATAACTCACTAAGTTGGCAAACACGATTTCCTATGTGTGCCATATGCTTTGTTTCATATAATGCTGCCAATAGGTTGTGATCATACTTATTATTTTAACCAAATGGTCATGCTATGCAGTTGGAAGTAGGCAAGAAGTACTGCTGAAATGTACTGATATAAGCTATTAGGATGGAAGTAGGCAAGACATACCGTTAAAGTGTACTAATATTCAGGCGATGTTTTAGTTCCAAGTTTTACTTACTTTGGGGCTAACTACCTTCTGTTGCCGTGATATCAACATCAGATGAATAGTAACGCAAATGCCATCAGTAGATTGATAATACCACCAATATTCAAGTTATCGAGAATAAGGAAAAGCAACCACACAAACCCAAGGCCCTTACAACTGTTTAGTACCAAAATACATACAAATGTTTTCTGCATCG